TGAATATTTAGATTATGAATATGTATTAATGAAGTTACTTAAATTAGATTTTACTGAATATTATGTACCTAAAATAGATTGTACAAACTACTATTTATTGGAATGAAAACAAAGGAAAAGACATTCAGCCTATTTGCTCAAATTATTGTCAAGTTGAAGAACATCACATTATTAGAGACATAATAAAACTTTGTCAAGTTAAAGAACATCACATTATTAGAGACATAATAAAACTTTTATGAAAGGATAAAGGAGATTCCAGGACAAGGTATTTAGAATTACAAACTTTCTCAACCACTCATATGACCATAAGACTGTAACACTAGAGAATTCTCTTAGTTGCACAAAGAATCTTCAAGTTACCCTCCCTTTTAGGAAGTTCCAAGAGACTTTGTTCATTGTAAAAAGCTTCAAGAAACTCTTCACTCTTACTAAGGAACCTTCAAGAAAATATTCATTATAAGAAGTTTCAAGAAACTCTTCACTCTTAGGACACATCAAGAAACACTTCAATCTAAGAAGTTTCAAGAAATCGGGCACGATCTTTGGCTTGGGCCTAGGCTTGGGCTTGGGGTTCTTAAATTGGGCTGATGTTGAATCCTCAATCTCTACCGAGTATGTGTAAAATTTTCACTAATAAACTATGTCTAGTTATAAATCCTAAAATTCATCTTATAAGGAAAGCATGCACACATGTTTTGTTGTTGGAAGAGGCTTTCACCTGTATACTTGGTTAAGTTACCAAGTCTAAGATTCGCTCCGTGAAAAAACATGCAACATAGGCTTGCAAGGCTATAATAAAGGCATAACGATCAATTGGGTGAACCTGATCATAACTTGTATATTTTAGTTTTGATCTTTTTCTCTTCCTATTTTTTGCTAGTTTTCCCTCTCTAAATTCAAATAAGTTTCACGTATTGCTCAACAAACTTACACATACATGCAATTTCATTTTTTGAGCAGCTAAAAGGCTTCGAGCATGTCAGCGGTATTGTGGTGGATCCTCAACCTTTTGATATCGAAAGAGACCTTGTTACTGCAACATTGAAGAAAAAGAGATCACAATTGTTGAAATACTATCAGGTACACTGCACCTTCTTCCTCATGCTATATTGTGCCAACCAATGTCTCATTGCTTATTGTCATACATATACAGGTTCAGATCGAACGTGTCTATAAAAACATGGCAGAAGACAATAAATGAGGTTGAAGTTGTCTATGTAAGATAGAAAGGTTGTAAGTTTGTTTTTAAAATGTGATTAGTTTCATATGTAAAATAGAATTAATAGCTTTCAAACACTTTAAACTAAAGAATAAGTCTATAATTAATGAACTGCCATAGAAATCAGTTTGCTTGGTGGTGTTCTTTACAACATGTTTAAATCAATAAACTTCCTTTGTTTTTTTGTTTGAAAGGTAAGAAAGAGTATCTTAATTTGAAGAGAATAAAAAATAAATTTTCTGATTTTTCAGCTATTGCTCTGTAGAAAATAAGTGCTTTCCTATCTGTCTGTGAGGCCTTCTCCTTAACGGTGTTTCACAATTTAATTGTATTTGTAATCCTTTTTTGGTAACTGAATTATTCGATTATCTTAAAATTTTATAAAATTGCGACAGCATTTTTGTGGGGTGTGGTACTAAGTAGATTTGAGGAACAGTGAAAATTAAAGAAAATTACCATAAAGAACACTAATCCTGAAGAAAATTGCACTGTAGAAAGATTCGACAATCAAATATTAATCTGGACACACACACACACACACACACACACACAGATAATCGCTGAACCTCAAAGATCATCCTTTGGAAAGTTTCATCACTTAATTCTTAGCAGCAGAAGACAAATTAACACACACACACACACGCACACACAGATAATCGCTGAACCTTAAAGATCATCCTTTGGAAAGTTTCATCACTTAGTTCTTAGCAGCAGAAGACAAATTAACATACAGAAT